CTAGGAGGTAAGCGTCTTTTCATGGTGGATGTCACAAAGAGAATTCTTGTTAACACCGCTGCTGCTGAGGTTTAATGCAATTTGGCCATGCGATCTGCTGAAGCGCTTTCAACAGGTGGTTATGCATGCAGATTGGGAGGAACGGCTTCGGATTGACATCCTGCTGTTGTCTTAATTCGCAATTTTTAACAGTTTCAAAATCATTCAAATTTGGTTTTCGGCTGACTGCTCTTTGATCTCCACGAATGTTTTAGTGGCGGCACTTCGCCCACTGTCAAGCATTAAACTTGAAAACCAGCGTGTATCACCTAGTCTGGTCGTTGTGGTAGGCAATCAAACGGCTTGCTACCTGCCTTTGAATCACAGTCTGGCAAATTCCACAGATGCGAAAATGCCACTCCTCCGAGGAGAGGGAGAATGAGGGAATGCCGTTCTCCAATTGCCTGTTGCAGATATTGTGGTCTATAATTCCATAGTGTGGGAGCTGTATAGCCAGCCAAATTAATAAATTTATTAATGAACTCGTCCAGCACCCCTCCTCCCTCACTCTTATCTCATAAATGTGCACAGCTGTTGTTATGGAAAGGCAAACTTTACATTCCCCCTTCTGCAGGCGAACAAAAGTATAAATAACAACGAAATTTGCTGCATATTCTTGCGAAATTTTGTGCCATTCTTTACTTTTGGTAATTAAGTTTGAATTACTGCTGCCACTACTTTAATTGCAATGTAGAATTGTGTTAGTCGCCTAATTTTGATTTTTACTTGATGCATTTAGTGCATCATTTAAACCATAAGAACTGGAAAATTAGATTGATTAACCAATCGGAATTTTGATTTCCCTGTCCTCATGCACCTTTCTATCCTCGTCTTTCTAGGTTCTCTCATGCATTTGATCTTCTAGGTGACAGTACAGAAGGCTGGGCGTTAATTTGATGCGACATTCCCACAAATACCCCGATCTCAGTGGTAAGATACTGCCTTAAGGTCACTGTACCTAGTATAGTGGTTCCTTTTTGTTCACCTTGGCTTTTCCTTTTAATGCCAAGTTTTATACAATAACAACTCTTTTGCGAGGTCGGTTACAGTTTCCAGATGTCGGCAGCATATGAACTCTTGCCCATTTTATGTCAATATTTAAGTCAATAGAATGTTTAGGTAAATTTGGCTTTCTAGTTAGTGGAACGAATTTCTTCATTGTTTCTGAGGCACGATTACCTCCAAGAAGAATGTTTGCTCATCAGGGTGCTAGTTAGCAGTACAATTCAATGTGCACCGTCTTTTTATTTGTGCACTCAGGCGTATGGCTATCGTGCGTAACATCAAAGGCCAATCAGAAGGACCGGCTTGTTCCCACGTCATAGGCTGAATGATGCGATTGGCTAAAGCTTGGTGATAAGTGGTTGCGCGTTTTGACGGCAATTCATCCGTAGCATTTGCTCTTGCGTATTAATACATTCAAAGCTAAAGTAAATTAAAAATTTTGGAAAAGTGCTTGTTTGAAAGGTTTATAAGTCTAAAAATAAAAACTAAACCTTTGTCGATAATTTGATAATTAAGATCAAACTATGCGTTAGAACCTATTAATTAGTCAGAAAATGGAAGTTATTTCGGAAATTCGCGCTAACTAAAAATATTGAAATAATCTTTTGCATAGCAAAAAGTCGATAGAAGGGCGTTGTCAATAGCTATTGATAATACATTTGGCAACGCATTTTGTTTATTTGTCCTCTGAAAACTGAGCTTCAACTGTGGCTAGCTAGACTGTTCTCCGATTTTTGAGCTATCAGTGGTTTTGAAACATATTTAACCACATTTACTTAAAATCAAGCACCTTATTCATCTGGTGACCTGATGGTTGAACTACACCCACGATGTTAGTAATTTAAGCGAATCTGAACAAATTCGGAGGCTTCTAGAATAAATGACTAAGCACATGAAACGTCTAGTGAATATACTTGGCATAAAATAAACGCACTCGTTTAGCAAGTCAGAAGAACTTTGGGGCATTGATGCAGTGTTTAGTGGTTTCCTTTTGCCTAAATAGAGTGTCCAACCTTGGGTATACTTCCACATGCTCATGGCTCATATTTTAGCTTAGAAATATGATTTCTCATTATGACCTGAAAGACGATTAGTATGCCCGATTCCAGACAGGATGCATTTAAATGGCAAAGGGTACTTTTATCTACTTAGAACTAATCAAATTGTGGAGCAGCATGACGCTTGTATCATGTAGTAGGAAAGCCTCTAGAACAAAGTTGAATAGTAGAAAAGAAGGTAAATTTGAAGCTTAAAACCTTTTCTTTCAGGCCAAGGGAGGTCCAAAAGTGAATAACTAAGTAAGTTCTTTGCTCAGGTCAGATTCAAGGTGGTAAAAATGACTTAAGGATTACGTACCTGTAGGAGCTATATCGCCAAACTCAGCCACCATATTCAGCACTCATAGAAGGAGAGTGATGAAGAAGATAGAAGATTCCAGCAAAAAAAAGGAATTTGAGGGAATTTGGTAGTTAGTGTAGGAAGTCACAATTCTTTGATGGAATTAGCTTGCCACGCGTGTTGCTGACGTGTTGTGCCAGTGTGTAGCAATTAACTCCACGTTTCTGCCATACAGCTGCTAGGCAGTTGGTAACCATGGTCAGTTGGCTGTCAGTCAAAACGTATTGAACCAAAAGATGGGAAATGAATTAGAATTTCCTTACAATTTATGTGCAAAATTCACTGTCTAAAACTAACAATCCGACAACCAGTGAATGCTAACCCACAGCTTTTTACAAATGCCCTGCCTAGAAGAAGTCGATTTGTCACTTTAGCAACGAATTTCAAACGGCCGCAGCGTCTACCTCGGATGGATAGACACACGAATCTGCTGCTCAGTGTTGCTTTTT